GCTTCCCATTGCAGTATCTCAGTCCTTCAGAAACGTACTTCTCAAGCCATCTGTGTGGTAACAAATTTAGAAAAATGAGTAGTATCTTGGCAGTCTTACCAAAATGTGCTCAGGATGCAGAGGAGGATGGTGGGGGGTTCCTACCAAATAGGGCATTCAGTATCTGAGTCAGAGGTGATGACAGCATCTAAGCAGGGGGCTGTTTTCTAAGAAATATGCCATTAATTTTGTAGAGCCTGACACAACTGCACTGCAGTTCAGCTGAAGCCATCCCTTTCAGTCCTGATGATGGCTTTGTCGGTACAGAGCCTCCAGGTCTGCAGCTCTCCTTGTCCTCTGCACCTTCCCCACTGCAACAAACTACTCAATATACAAGACTCCACAAGAACATCCCAAAACTAGTCTGTTCAAAACCAGTGGCCATTTTGTGAATGACCAATGTGAATGATCCTATCTGTAAAATACAGGTAATCCTGCCCCTTTATTTCCCAATGCAAGTGCAGATCACTGACATTTGAGAAGTGTCTTGAAAATTGCAGGAGATGATAACATCAATAACAGCACGCCATGAAATGCAATATTATTACAATAATAATGGCCTTCATTTCAGACTCCCGCATTTTTCAGGTCATCAACCAAAAACATTAGCAAAACACAGCCCTTCAGGAGATGAAAAATCTTTGCAGCGTAATGCAAGCTGCTTCATTCAATTTATTTATTCTCCCCTATGCTGTGCAAAGTGGCTGCTACCATCCCTCCAACTACCAAGAGAATTGTGAGTGCCCCTTCTCACATAAAATGATTAAGCCCTCTGATGAAACTAAAGAGAAATCTGAGAGCATCTGACCACAGTCTTACATTCCTGCAGTCTTGCACTTTTTCTATTTTTTCCCTTTAAGTCTTGACCTGCAGTCTTCATCAATGATGTCAGCACTGAAACCACAGTGACAAGCCATGCAGATCCGACTGAAACTTTAAGGAAATTAGCTCAGCTAAGCTACTGCAGGCCCAGCAGGACATCTAGCACCTCCATGCTGTGCCTCCCTTCAGGGGAGAAGAGAGGAGATAGCTGAGCAGCTTTCAGCAGCCCTCATCCCCAAGCCAGAAGTGGTAAGCGCAGCATACAAGAGCTCTGCATGGTTCTGCTGTGGCAAAAGGCAAACACTGCCTACTTTGCCAACTGGGCTCTCTGTGCTGTTGAGAGAGATGAGAGTTCCCCAGAAAGAGCCTTCCACATCTTCTAGGGCAGAAAGAATTCTGCTTTGATCTTGGGAACAACTGCTGAGACCTGTGAACGTTTCTGCCTCTCTTCTGCTCTGCCTGCTGGTTTTGTCATTTTGCCTCATTATTCCATCCCTCCTTTCCTTCCCCCAGATTAAGAATAGCAGATGATGGCTGAAGTAGACAAGGATCTGAAAAGCAAAGGGAAAGCCTTGCTCTTGCCTGTAGGGCAAAAAATAAAAGTGCTCTGTGTATGTGTACCTACATGTCAGGCACTTCCTACTGTTCCTACTTGGACTTCCCTCTCCCCACTGCCCTTTTTAACATCTGAGGTTAAAGTCTACGGAAAAGAACGTTCCAAACTTCAAAGTTAAATGCAAAGGTGGTATTGACAGCACAAAGTTCTGTGAACATACATGCAAAAACCTGATGCCCTCTTCTTCCTTCCCTTGCTTTCAACCCAGGATGCTTCCTTGGTGGGAAGCATCAACAGGAAATTCAAGAGAGCACACCAAAAACTATTTTTCTTTCCTTTTTTCTTTAGGGTTTTTTAATATACTAAACTGTGTTAACACTATGAAAACAAAGGCAACTCTTAAGGGAATAGGAGGCTACTTCTCCCTATTGTTCACAGAGAACCCTGGCTGTTGGAATGGATGATATGTTAATTTTGTGGCACAGTCGCTCAAGGGAGGACATAGCAAAGTCTCCCATGGTACAGTGCACACAATTTACAATGGGCATGGTTAGAATTTAATTATTTGTTACAGGCCTTGCAAAGATGCTTCTCCAAAGCAAACGTGCTACAAAATACATTTTTTTCTAAGCACTCACATCAGAAAAACTTCAGTTCATAAAGCACACTTTCTGAGCTGTTACAGACAACAGCTGCTCAGATGTTTGAAGGAGGAGCTGGCAAAATTAAAAAAAAAAATAACTAACATAGGCCTCAGAGATTTAAAGTCCTATAAAATACCTCCCTACAAGCTGTTTTTACTTCAAGCAGTACTCCCAAGATTGTAGAGAGTTTAAGGGCAATACTTGCAGCAAGAACTCCTTGTGTTCCCTCTGCTTAGGGGGCTCCACAAACACACCATAAGATTTATGCCTTTCCCTTTCAAAATAACCTACATAGTCATCTGCAAAAATTAATTTATATAAGCATACAGAAGAAAGGAACATGTCAGCTCAGGCTGTTGGTTTTTGGCTTTTTTTTCCAGGTTTTTTTTTCGGTGGGAGTAGGCTGGGGGAGCAATCACTAATCTCTACCATAAATCTGCTCACTCACAGCCTGAGCTCACACACTAACACCACCTCTGTCTCACGCACACTTTCCTTCCCATCTTTCCCTCTCTCCCTCCCCACAGCCAGGCCGGAATGTGTCTGAGTTGGCTGTGCAGTGTTGCTGATTAAAATCTGCCAGTAGTGAGACTACTTATTACCAAGCCTACAAGGGGACTGTGTATTTATGAGTGCAATAATTAATCAATGCATAATAAGCACACACTGCACATACCACTTTTCTTTCCATACACAGACAGCTTCAATTGCCATGCAGGTTTCACTGTCATGACAATCTTCAGGTCCCAGTAGCTGCTCCCCCACCCTGCAGCATTAACAAAGACAAGCTCACTATGTTAGAGCCTGCATTAATCTGCAAACCCACCCAAATACTGCCAAATTGATTAATTTTGCAGGTAGAGGTTTTCAGAAGAAAATGCCATAGTTAGTGCCACAACTACTAGGCTGTCACAATTTTCCTTTTAAACTCCTTTTTTGAGAGGCTCAGCTGTAAAGTGTACTCAGAGCTGTGAGCTGACAGACTGGTTTGCATCTTAAGAACATATTTCATTTTAATGGCTTTATTTTTAAATTGTTTCAACTCTTTGAATTAATGGAGATTTCAAAAAAGAAATGAGACTGACAAAAATGCAAAGTAGAATATTTTCTCCTTTTTTTACCTGTCTTTTTACATCAGGCTACAATTATTTTCAAGAAACTCAATAGTACCCAATAACAGGACACCTTTTCCTCCCTTCAGTGTCCATCCTCTCCAGCACCGCTTTCTGCCCAAACAGAAGAACAGACATGCTTTGCTCCATAGATGAGCTTCCATGCTAACTCTCTGCTAAGCCATTTGAGCCTGCACTAATGATACCTGGAGGTAAGTAATCACCAGAAGTTTCCATTGCAGTGCCACAGGCACAGAAGACGATTATGTGCCCTCCCTGACCCAAAAGCCAAAGTTCATTGCAGACTTGCTACATGTAGGGACTGACCAGAAGGTTGCAGAGCTCTGCATTTGGCTCTGCAGCTGCTGCCTGGAGGACATTAATGCATATATATCTAAAAATATTAATACTTTGTACTCTGTAACGGGCCACAGAGGAGACGACATGGCTTTATTCTGCCAATATGCAGAGGATTAAGGGTTTCTGCTTGAAGCCACTAACAACCTGAACAGGAGAATTACAGTAATTCCACTAAAACCACACCAAATCCAAGGGACTGGCTGATGGCACGTTGTTACCCTTCCTACTTCTCTTGAAAATGTCAGCTGGCACAGCCCTGTAAACAAGACTTCAACCAGCTAGGCAAGGAAGTCCAACATAAAGAATGGTTTTAGAGGAGCTACATGCAGCAGTGGGGACATTTCTCACGAGACTTTTCAACATTTTGAGACCTAAATACTCAACATGGACCAGTTTCTTCAAGGGAAGTAAAAAAAAAAGCAGTTAGCATGTGAAACACAGCTTAAACTCATGCTGCTCACACCAGTCCATTTTAGTGCAAAGCATTTCACAGCAAACAACAGCAAGATACTCCATTAAAACCCTGCACTGCTCTAAGCCATGAGGTCACTGTTAGGACCCAAACACTGTTGTCATGACGTCAATTAGCAACACTTTGCCTATGCCAATGCCATTATTAATACCTTGAAATACTAATCTCTATTTCTAATTAACAGTCAAATGCATTAAATAATTATTCATGTATTAGGAATGTATTACGGAATTCAATTACACATTGAGAGCTGTGACTTATGAATGCTTCCCACAACACCACTTGTGCCAGAAAATATCCTTAAAAATTCAGCAGCATTTAAGAGGCTTTTCATAACCAAGACACCTCTAGGTTGGAATAAACTGTTAGGCCCTGGCTCTGCAAGCCAGACAGGAGTCTGTCTGCATGTCTGACTGTATTCTCAGTTACCCTTTCCAAATGCAGCAGCCACACTTAACAGCTACAGTTATTAAACAGAAATTTAGCAATTCATCAATGAGAATACCAATGCTTGACTGGAAATTCAGATCTTCCCTAAAACTAAGCCTGGCAACACAAGGAAGGATGCAAACGCCTCTTTGTGTTTTGAGAACTGTAACTGTTATTCTGAACACAAAATATTGATTGTTTCAAGGAGATTACTGGCCTTCTGTTTGAACACAGCACAAAAACTAGTGAATATGCATTTTGAGAAAGATTTCACTTCCACATTCATTAAGAGCCTTGATATTTAGGTATTTCAGAGGGAAAACTGGGACACAGTGAGAATCAAGATGACTGATGAGCAGCACTTACAGGAAATGTTATTTATATTGCGTGATGCTAAACCAACTCGGTTAAACCCACAGTTTAGCAGTGATAGCTGTAATTCTGTGCACATACATCCAGACTAAGTACCTGCATTTTCTCTTGCAAACACACACACAAACTGGTGTGTGCACTCCGGATTAAAAAAAAAACAACAGTCAGCAAACAAAGAATATTAAATACTATACCTTTGAGTCATAATCTTATAGGCATCTGGCAGATAACAGCGGATATTCTCCATCTGAGCAGGATCAGAGTCACAGATTTTATCATCAGTCCTGCCGTAGTTGGCACTTTCAATCATGATCACATCTGTTCCCGGGCAGCGCAGCTCGATGGGGTAACTCTCGCAGGACAGCTCCCTTCGGACCACAGCCATGGGCACTGGGGCACGGCTGAAAGCTGCAAGGATTAACACAGAAACACAGTCAACACCGACTTCCCACACCGAGGCTAAAATTAAAAGCGGGATCACGCTCAGCAGCAGCTTTTACCCTTATGCTGTGCTGAGATAGCTTCAGTACCATTCAGATAAGATCTGCAGGAACGGGTCCGCTCGCTGGCTTGCTGGCTGCCCAGAAAAATCACTTCTCCACTCAGTGGCTTGATTTTCTCATTTTAAAAACGAGTTATAGATCCCTTTTATCTAGGGCTTTAGAAATTCCTTACTGAAACAGGTAAATAGCAACTATGGCATTGCTATTATTTCTACTTACCAGGTGAAAAACTAGTTGGCTTTGATATATAAAATTACAGTCCTGCACTGTACTTGAACAAGCAAAGAACATTTTATGACAACAAGCAACCCAAGCACCGGGATCCCACCTGCTCAGCAAGATTGCACCTGTCCTACAGCAGATGTAATAACATCTGTATTGCTCCTGGTCCTTTTCTTAGCCCTCAGAAAAAGTGATCCTAGTGAGCCTAATGCAGGCTTTTGCTGTAGCCTGCAGCATGCCAGGGGATGGCCTGCAGGTTTTGGCAAGCATCCCAAAGTTTGGGCCCTGCAGTGATACTTTCCATGGAAAGGCCAATTTATGGGATACCAGATGATTTAAGTTCAGTCTTAGCTTTGCATTGGATCTGCCTAGACAGTCAAATAGCTGGCAAATACTTGTGAAATTAAAGAGCTCTCAGAAATCTTACCTGTTTTAAAAGAAATCCAGGCTACAGTTTGCAAAAGAAAAAAAAAGAAACACACTTTGAGATGCCTTGAAAACAAAGCCCTAAAGTATTAGTAAACAATGTCACTTGACAACAAGCAATCGTATTTCCCATCTTTACAGCCTCTTTGATCCAAAGATCTTAAACAGCTTGACGAATATGAATATATTAATCCCCGAATATCCACATGAAGTAGCTACACATTGTCTTTCTCAATTCAGCCACAGAAGGGTTTTGCAGCTTCCAGAAGACCTCATGGGAAATCCATGGTTATGCTAGGAACCAAATACTTGTTTCCCAGCCTAGCACACCAGTCACAAGCTGAAATAAAAGCCAACTCCTTTCCTCCTTTATTACACAAGAATGAAAACTCACCCCCACCAAAAAGGTTTCCAGATGTAGGGATGATGTGCCCTCCCTTCTACATTTGTACACTTCCAACCATAAAACTCAACATACAACCCAAGCCTGTCTCTGTGTGATGGTGACAGAGGTTTAAGCCTCCAGTAAATCCATGGCCCATCTGATACCAGGCATCTTCCAACAACTCCCCTTCCTCCTGGCCTCATTATAAGAGCACCAAAATACCTTCCCCCTAAACCAAAAATCCCATCCAATGTTCTGCTGTTTATTCCATAAAACTTCCTCATGGTACACACAAACCATAAGTTTGCTTATGGAAAATAAAAGTATGTTGATGTTTCTCAGAATACCATTTTGACCATACCAAGCCCTGTCTGTCTGGTAGCAATCCAACACATTGACTTCCATGAATCCTTCTATTATTGTCAGCTGTCTCATTTATGTATCACTGGACAGATTCTCAGATTCCAACTTCTGTACATCTGCAGCGATTACTTTGATATCAGACCCTCCCTGGACTAATTGCCAAACTCCCAAGACAGACATGTTCTTATTCTTGAATAATAGCTTGCACAATTAGCACAGCTTTAGGGTTTGGATCACTTGAGATGTCCTCCTTCCCTGAGACTGGAGAAACAGTTTTGCCCTGGGCTCATATTGCACCATGCATTTGTGTAATGCAATACATTCTCACTGCCACCAACTTCTCCTGTTACAAGAGGAGGAAAATGAGGAGGACAAGCACGAACCTCTAAGGAGCACTGCCTCATTCTTACCCTTGGCTTGACACCACCAGTCAAGGAGAGTGGAGGAAGGATGGGACACTGTTAGAGACAACATTTGATAGAAGACATAAGCCAGCCAGAAAGGCAGAGTCAGCAGAGCCCAGCAATTTCAGCCTGCCCAACAAACACCTTCAAGAGGTATTAAATTTGCTCCCAGGGATCTGTCCACAGCAGCCTGCAGCAGACCCTGCTCTGTCAAACTCTGGGCTCTGTGGCAGAAGGCCAGTGCTGACCAAAAAACTTCTGATGCCAGGATTCTGATTTTGGAGAAGAGCTGTGGCAAGCTCTCCTCTCAAGCCTGTTCTGTGCTAAACCTGAGCAGATTGGTGACATGGGAGGCAGAAGGTTTCTAGCAGCTTTTGGCAGAATGCTGAGGCCAAGGGCCCTCCCTCCTCCTGCCATGTGCTTAGATGACTCCTGTTAACTGCCAAAAAAATGACAAAATGAGGTTTACAGGCAATATTAGCTGTTTGGAGCTATGGTTTGGCCCAGTCCTTGGGCAATTTGGATCTCTTTTCCTTGGAAGGTTAACACAGGCTATACAAAGGGCAAAGAGAGTTGTTAATACTACTTTACTTCTTTCAGTTCCCACTACAGAATACAAAACTTCTGAGCCACGCGATTCAGAAAGTATACTTTTGCTCTTAATGCCTATGTTTTGGTTTGGTTTTTTCTTTTTTTTTTTTTTAGTAACTATTCTATATCAAAGAAAGAAATTAAACACATGAGGGCTGAGGAAAATCCTGCTTAAAAATCACAAAAATCAAATGCCTGAGAATTCACTCATACAAACTTGGTGTATTTGTCAAACAGTAATACTGTACAAACACAGCTAACCTTAACTCTTGTCTTATGCTGGAAATAAGACATTAAGAATTACTAGCAGCAAGTTACAAAACCATTAAAGATATTTCTCTACCTCAAATGAGAACACATTTCTAGTATCATGGGTGTGTCTCCTGTACTTGAGAATTCACAGCATTGATCTACTAAAACTTCACGCGTATCAGTTCCAAGGATGCCCCCAAAATAGCAGCTCATGTACTACTCTCCAGTAAAGAATCTCTGGACGGATGCAAACATTTCTAGATTCAGCTTTAAAGTTCCTGGAATTCGCCTTTTTGCTTTTCACATAATCACTTGACTGCTTGCTGTAAGGACAGCTTTCACTTCAGACATCTCCCTGTGGTATCATGGAGTCAACATTTACATTTATTTTCTGGATAAAAAGCATAAAAAATTTAACACCCTGGAAAAACTAGAAGCAGCTGAATACTGTAATACAGCATGCTCTGCTATCGTGCTTTCTCCTAAAGCAATAGGCACATGTTTTCCATCCTGCCATTGTCCACCAAATCACTCGCTCTGCATGGCTTTTTTTTCTACTCCAGTATCTGCAATAAATACTGCGAAGGGAGATTAGAGGCTGGCTGTTTATCTCCTTGTAAACACATTTTTTGTTGTTGTGTCCCTATATGATAATCTTACTTAATCATTTTTACTGGTTTTCCTGTAAGGAGCAAAGACGTTTTGCTTTTTGCTGTGAAACAAGATACATCAAAGCCCATCTGTGAAATACACAGCACGATTGTATTAATTCATTAATACACTTCTCTCTTCTTTGAGCAGCTCCCTATCTTCGCAGTCTCTCATTGAGCTCCTTATTTAATTTCCTAAATAAGTGACCTAATTGTTGGCTTGAAGTCAAGAGGAGCTGATGGCTGCTCACTACTTTGAAAAACAGGTGTCTTTTTCCAGGATTCTGTGTGCAGACAGCCAACCAAATACAGAACTTAAAGAGAGTGTTTTTCAAATTCTTTAACGTTTAAATGTGTGCCAACTTGAGTTTTTTAAGTGCAGCCATTTGGTGGAAAATAATCCTCCTGAGCTTCTGCAGGGCAAAATGAGAGCGGAGGGTGAAAAGGCAACAGATAATGACAGGATTTTATCTGGGCGATTTAGAACTCCTTTGTCTCTGCTAATTTCAGGAGCTGGAAAATTAAGTAAGTCATCAAAATCTTGTGCTTTTTCTCCCCCTCGCTTTTGACCTCAGAACATAATTGCCTCTTGTCATGCCTGCAGGGCACGGGCTTGTAGTTATCACTGTGTGCTTAATCAAATGCCGAAATAGCCTTTAAATTACGTGTCTCCTTGGCTGCTAGAGACTTGTTGAGCTCTGTTACATTTAGAGGCATGATGGTAGTAGATGTACTTTTAAAAGAAAAGTGTGGGTTGATGCTTTTAATTAGGTTTTATATGCAATTTTTCCAGCAAAATCATGTTCTGGCTCAGAATTTTCAGAGCGAAATTTCAGTGCATATTTAAGGGCCGTGAAACAAAAGTTGGAATTGTAGAGATAATTATTTTCACAAGCTCTGTATATGATTTGGTCTGCCCAGCTAAGTATCAGACTTACTGTTCCCAAGTGCAAACAGAGCATGCTGGGGGAAGAGGTTTCCTAGTAATTTGGAAGAATGCTTCTGTGTTTGTAATTTTGCAGTATTTAATACTCCCACAGTTCACCTTGGCTCTGTGGGGAAAAAAAAAAATCATAAAAGTAATAATAAAAAAAGTCCCCCTCCCCTTATTCTCAAGCCTACTCAGGTGTGGGTAGGAGTGGAAATCCCTTTCAGTGAGTCAATGGCCTTTGTAGGGCTCACTCCACATTCTGAAGTGCTTTTCTAAACCAGGGCCCTACCTTTCCCTATCAGGATATAAAGTCTCCTTAGTGCATTTGTTTGCAGCATGCAGACATCGCTCAGTATTTCTTCTCTCTCTTGTCCTTAATCCAAATTATGTCTGGCCTCTGATCCCAAGAACAATATCAGTAGCAAGCAAAAGCTTGGGTTAACGATGGTGACAACAAACATTTCTCAAGCATCCAATACTCCCATTTCACAGTATTTTCACAAATATCAACAAAGTTCTGACAAGCTTAAAATAGCTTGGTTGGTCCAAAGTTCTCTGAAATCTTATGATTAATATGCAAATATTAAAATACCATTTTTTCTCTCCAGTTTCTCTACGGATGCTGACAATTAAAAAAACCCAATCCAAAACAAAACAGCTTTGTCTTTTCTAGAGGGACAG